CAGATAGGACAACTTGACCTAGACACTTTTTTTCCATCATGGGCCCAATGTTTCATTATAACCTTAGAATTCAGTAGAAAAATAAGGAAGGGAAAGAGGAGTCAAAAAGAGAGGAAGGAGATCTTCAGCACTGACTTGATCTCTGATATTTTGGGATATTTCTTAGAATCAGAGACTTAATATATCATTCAACACTGCTCTCAAGACCCATTCTCATATGACTCCAAAATGTCTTTTGAGCTTAGTCTAGGTGAATTATTCTCGGGTGGTTGGCTGATACCTTAGTTTGTGATAAGACATTCTGACCAAAAACAACTTGAGGAGGAAAGGTTTATCTCATCTTAACACCTAAAACTCAACATGAAAGAAATTCAGGGCAGGAACTCAAGTCAGGAACCTGGAGGCAGAAACTGAAGCAGGGGCCATGGAGGAATGTTGCTTACTGGCTTGCTCTTAATGGCTTGCTCAGCTTGCTTCCTTATACAGCACAAGACCACTTTTCAGAAAGTGACAATTTTGCTATTGGGCTGGGCCCTCTCACATCAATGGTTAATCAAGAAAATGCTCTATAGAATTGCCTACAGGCCAGTCGGATGGAAGTATTTTCCCAATTGAGGTTTCCTCTTCCAAGATAATTCTGACTTGGGTCAAGGTGACAAAAAACAAACAAACTAACTAACTAACTAACTAAACTAACTGACATTAATAACATGAACAACTGGTAATCTCATGTTGTGTTGCTGTTTCTTCCAAATTGGAACATTTCCTCCAAGGAAGAAAGTTCATGAAGCCAATGAAGTCAACACATTGTACAAGGCTCAGAAAGCACTCAAAACTCATGTCTCCTCCCCAAAGTTACAAAACAGTCAAAAGTTGCTGGGGAGAGAGGACTGTCAGGTGGAGCTGACCAAATGTTGTTCAAGGAGCTCTAAGGATACACACTTTGTAGTGATCCAGCTGTTTGGGGGTCATCCATATTCCTGTAAGTAACCTCTCACCTATGTGCCAGTAAGTAACCCCAATAAATAGTGATCGTTTCTTTGGTTTGTCTTTGGTGGTCTATCTGAGGTGCTTATGTGTTTGTTCCCATCTCTTAGGAAAAACCATGCAACGTTCCAGAACAAGCTGATATGGGACCAGTTTGATCTAGACAGACTCTCATCTCTTAAGATACCAAGAAAAAGAAAGCTTCCAGTGACCATAGCACCAAAGACACCAACAGTCATGTCAAGACCCATTGCCCCTTTCTTGTTTAGTATGTGCAGAATCTACTTATCACACTCAGAAGATTGCATTACCATCTCAGGGGAGGAAATCAAAGAGTGTGTTTGCAATAGTTTATCTTAGTTATTCTTTGCTGTTTACTGAATTGAAGAGCCAAGAACTTTACTTTTTTTGTCTCTGAATTTTGTCTTCATCAATATTGTGGAGACTCATGTTTATGACCTGAATAAGAGAATTGGGGTGAAAATCAAATTAGTACCATGAAGAGATACATTGGTCAGAATTTGACAAAATCATGCTCATCTTATCAGTCATTGAGAATTGTAATTAACTCAGCTACTAGGATGTAAATCTCATGTTGTTTGTTCTAAAGACTGACAAGGCAAAGGCAGAAAGTATAGCATTGTCCCTGGCCACGTTGTCCTTTCCTCCACCACCAGTTCACTCAGAAGGCTAAGGTGTGCACAGAATTCCAGCCCAGTGAGCTTGCTCCCATCTTCAGGCTCTTACATCTCGTTTATCTGACTCATTGGAAACTTCACACTTCAGTATGATAGTCTCTGCTCTGACACCTTCTCTAAAGGGTTTTCCTGTCTTTCTATTTAAAATTATTCCCCAAATGCTCCAATGTACACAATTAATTTTTTATTTTCTACCTAGCATCTATCATCATTAAAAATTCACTTAACTTCTTTATCAACAATCTATTGATATCTGTCTATAACTATTATCTATTTATCTATTATCTATTGCTCTTACTATGTCTACCTGCCTACTTATCTTCAATCATCTATTTCCATCATCTCTATCTGACCTATCATCTATGTATCTATGCATCTATTTATTGTATAGCTATTATTTTCAACTATATCTACCTACCTATCATTTGTATCTATCATAACATCTGTCTATCTATCTATCTATCTATCTATCTATCTATCTATCTATCTATCATCTATCCACCCAATATCACATATCTAACTTTCATTTATCTAGCTACCCATCTAATCTAATAAATATTTTTCTCTGTGTAAAATATCCCTACTAGAATTTCTAAGAAGCATGGGTCTTTTCTGTTCTATTCTCTACTCAGCATTCATAACAGTATAACTACTCTACAGTAGCTGGTCATGAACAAATACATACATTAAAGAGATTTGGGAGGGGAGGGTTCAGGGTATTATTATTTGTTCCTGATTTCCTTGCTAATAGCCAATGATTCCAATGCAACCCTCAAAACTAAGGAATGAAACCTTCAGCTAAGATAATTTTGTTCACTGTTTAATGAAATTCTCCTGGGAATGTAGTAAGCTTAGACACAATTTTTAAACATTACAAACTATATGAGTTTTGTTTTTCTTTTTTTCTTAATTAGGCCAGTCCTTCCACAAATTAAGATGAACTATTACGTTTTTAGGAATGTAATGATGTATGATTCACCAAATATCTTAGACCCTTTTTCTTTGTTAAATAAAATCTAAAGGAAATAACTAATTAGTCAATTTGAATGATTTCCAAATAACATCACCAGTCTGTGTTTGTCTACACTATCAAGGTGAATAATTCATTAGCATTTATGAGAAGTGCCTGGAGAACACTAGCAGTGGGAGTAAAACAACCTGGAATGGTTTTTAAATGACCTTCCAAACAGCTTAGATTAACACGGGCATTATTCTCCCCGTACAAATCAAGTTAGAATTTTCCATGTGTCAGGTCTCAGAAGAAGGCCATGCAGAGGGCTGCTCACAGCGGAAGTGACCTTCTGCCTAATTTAGCAATTAGATTCTGCTTTTTTCCGTGTGTGTGTGTGTGTGTGTGTGTGTGTGTGTGTATGTCCACGAGTGTGTGTGTGCAACCGTGAGGGTTTGAGTGTGTGTGATTGTGTGCATGCCTGTCTATCTGTCTATGTGAGAATCAGAGACAGAAACGGGAAGGCAGGGGGACAGGAGAGTAAGAGTGAAGTCAAATGGGACACAGGATAGAAAAAAGACAGGCCTGAGAGAGAAAGAGATCAAAAGAAAAGGAGACATGGGCTACATTAAGGGTAGAAGGAGGAATGGCGAGAAGAAACAGAAACAGATGTGAGAAGGCATGGGAAGAAAAGGACAGAGGGAGGGGGGAAGGAAGTCACTGGTGACAGAAATGACAGCTTCTCCCTTGAGTTGGCACACCAGGTTGCCAAGCTCCCAGGAGTTCTCCCAGGTGTGCAGGGTCACCTGACTTACTGCTGATTAAAAGTGTAAATTGCAACACAAAAGGGTAAAAAAAAAAAAGTAATTGTCACTGTCACGTTGTTTCTCTCCTGTGAGGTCACACTCTCTGGCTGTAGCTGATCCTGCTGATAGGCACACCCCTCTTGTTTAATAAAATTGTATTAACTTTATCCCTGCCCTTGATTTGTGGCTTTCTCACGTTGTGAGGAATAAATAATAAATGATTGTAAAGTACTTGTACATATGAAATGCCACATAAATGCTTAATAATAATCAGCTTAGTCCAGGAAGCCAGGGGCCTTGAATAGAAATCATTGCATACGCCCATTCCTGTTTATGTGGCTAAAATCATCCCGTATGCCATGTCTCCTTCCAATCCTCCAGCAGATTTAATTGTCGCTCATTCAGGAATCCACTTCTCTGCAAACTAAACAACCTTTGTTCCTCCTTCCCCACAGTACTGTGACTCTGATAGCAGAACATAACTGCAAAGATTCTGCCTTTGCTCTCTAGCTTCAGCTATTTTTCCAGAAGTCCTGCATTCATCTCAGTTCCTCCAAACCCCTACATGTCTGATTTTCAGAGTCTTCATCCCAGGAATGCTTATTCCCCTCTGGTTACTTTTGAGGAAATATCTGCCACCTAGTCTTGGGTTTCCTTCAGTTTAGTTCAGGATGAAAGCCAGGTGGCTGAGTTGGCCTTTCCCCCATCATCTTCATTTCTGCATTTCTTGAACTGTTCATTCAACAGCTGGGGATGGAAGGTTGTGCTAAGTGCAGAAATACAATAGAGCCCAAGACTCTATGAGTTTGCATCACCCCAAGACAAACAGATTAGTCCTGTTCAATGCATATAACTCCACAACCAGGGTAAGGTGGCTATCTTTAGGAAGGTAAGGAATGTCAGAGGCAGGAAGTACAATGTTTTGCCAGGGTCTGACCTACTTTGTTTTTTTCTTTTCTTTTTTTTTTATTTTGCAGTACAATTCAGTTCTACATATCAGCCACGGATTCCCTTGTTCTCCCCACTCCCGCCCCCCTCAACTTCCCCCCAGCCCACCCCCCATTCCCACCTCATCCAGGGCAAAGCCTCCCCCCCCCCCCCCCGAGGAGGACTGAGATCAACCTGGTAGACTCAGTCCAGGCAGGTCCAGTCCCCTCCTCCCAGGCCAAGCCAAGCTGTTTTTTTCTTAAGTGTCTGTGTATATTCAATTTAATTTAGCTCAAATTCTCTTGACTTGACTTGTGACATAGGTAAGGAAAGGGCTCAGTCCCAGAAAAATTGCCCACGAGACCCTTAGCTTGCTGTGTGATGGTAGAAGGAAACCTTTGGCTACTTCTGTCTGCCAGAGTCTGAGCTACGGGTTGGCAAGCATCAGACACTTGCTGATATAGCTGATCATGTGGACTTGGAGAGTGTAATTTCAAAAGAAAGATGTTGTTAAAAGTTTTGTTAGTGTATTTAATGGCAAAATAGCATTTGCTTTTTTATAGGGAAAATAGTGAAAATTAATAAAACAGACAGATGAGAAAACCTGTTATTGCACCATTTACAGTGGTCATTAAAAATATGGAAAGCTTCACGAATTTGCATGTCATCCTTGTGCAGGAACCGTGCTAATCTTCTCTTCATTCCAATTTTAGTATATGTGCTACCAAAGTGAGCACTGCAGTGACCATTTTTATTACAATATATATCACTTCATGTTGTTTCTCATTGTTTATATCATATATAGATGTGACTTAAGGCATGTGTCCCCTAAACCCTTAGTGTTACATTCCTCATGAATGTGGTATTATTTTATGTTCTCTACTCATATCTATTGGTTTATAAGTTTTCTTTTGATAAAAAGTATCAAAAATATAATTTTTATAAAATGACTATCACACTCTAGTGATGGTTTCATATTTTATTATGCATATGAATTATTTCAAATATTTACACATATATAAACTGCCAAGATAAATCTCCTCATGGGAGAGTTGCTGGGTAAAGTTATTACCTAAATTAAGGCTTTTGTTGCTTTACCAAGCAGCACTGATGGGGATTGGACTGGTTTGTATTCTTATCTCTGGTGTGTCAGACCTCTTCCCATACCCCTACTCCTTCTAATGCCCCCATACACCTCTTAGTCAAATGAATTACTCTCAAGAAAGATGTACTGGAATGCATTGCTTTAACATTTTCCTCTTCTTTTCCATTTCTTCCCTCATGGCACAAGAATTAGCGAGCCTTGGGTTTTCCAACAGGTGGAGAAGGCTGAAGGGTGGATAATTGCTTTTGGTGTAACCATCAACATCCACGTTTAGTTTTTCCTGCTCCACTTCCTCCAATTCAATTAGCCTGTTCTTACCAGGGGGAGAGTTTTCAAAGCATCAGATGAGGTGCTACCTCATGATTAATAATTCATGACAAGAAATGAGGATTGGGAAAGGTAATAATGTCCTCCAAGCTGTTTTCTCTACCACTCTGTCGTTCTTATTTGCATTAAATGCTCTGTCTCAATCGATAAAGTAAACATGCATAGTTACACTGCCCCATAAACCAAAGATCCAAAACAGGAATTTGTAAGCTTTCTGAAGTCCTAAATTCCTTCAAGAATCTTGCAGAAGGCTACAGACTCTCTGTTAAGGGCAAGACTTGAGCTAGTAGCATGCACAACCCAGAACAAGCCCCCAAAGAATTTCAAAGTAAGTCAGACAAGACATTGGATATCTATGGACTCAGTCTTCTGCACCCAAATTCCCTCTGAAATAAAGAAATTTCTTCCAAGGTGGTGTAATTATTTAGTCTTTTGTAAGTGGAAACGTGAAGATGGTTAATATAAGAACACTGTGATTTGGAAAAATGAATAAATTATGGGACAAATAAATTACAGGTGTTGAGGCATGGTTGATGGTGGAATTATTTTGCAAAGATACAGTCAAGGATGCATATTTTTTTCTTGCCAAATACCATCAGCCATAAAATGTCTTCGGCACCAGTCACACCCTCTTCTTCATGCTCTGTTACTTGGCATTCTTTTAAGTTCTTCCTCAATTGTCATATCTCCACAGGCCATAACAGGGGACAACAGTCAGCAGCAATTCAATTTCAGCCTCCATCTGCTGGCAATAAGAACATAAGGGGGAAATTAATGTACACTCACACACTTGTCATTATAACATCCCCAATTTGTTTTTATAGTAGGGCTTTCCTCCAAGGAAATTAAAAATATATATATTCTCAAATTTCTGATCAACAACTCACCTTGTGTATGACTAAAATTATCTCGGTTTTGAAGATGTAGAGATGCTGAAAACATCCAGTCAAGGCAACAAAGCATTTCCTGGTGCAATGTAAGTATTAGGAATCCTCTCTGGAAAGCATAGTGGCATTTCTTAAAAGGATGATAGTCAATGTCCTAGCCAAAAAGCAGGCTATGTAACAGATCACCATGTTATATAAATATACAATGAAATATTTGCTCTTTTACCCAGAACAGCACCTCTTTATTTTTCTTCATGTATGTAATTCTCTTCTTCTAAGCACAAGACCTATAATCCCCACAACGAGCCTTGTGATTGTGAGAAAGTTGGTTAAATTTACTTGCCTCTACTTCTTCCTCTATGAAACAGAAGTAAAGATAGTAAGTCACTCACAGATTTGCTCTGAAAATTAAGCAAAAAGTTCTTAGAAGACTCCATAACATACAGAGTGGTCATAATCTAGATGCTTTGGCTATCATGAGTGTTTTAGTAAATATTATCATTAGTAAGATCAACATTATCATTACTTATAGCAGCTTAAGTTTAGAAGAGACATTCTAGACTCACCATTTCATTTCTCTCTCTCTCTCTCTCTCTCTCTCTCTCTCTCTCTCTCTCTCTCTCTCTCTCTCATCTGTGTGTGTGTGTGTGGGTGTGTGTGTGTGTGTGTGTGTGTGTGTATGTGTGTGTACACTTCTGGATGTGCCTTGTGCATGGATATGGAGACCAATGGTGAGTAAGCCTCTGGTCATTTCCACATATATCATCCATTTTGTTCTCATTGGCCTGGGACTCACTGATTCAAGTATACTGGCAGCTAGCAAACTCCAGAGATTTGCTCTCTCCCCTTCCTCAGCTCTCTGGTTTCAAATGTATGTCATTGTCCCCTGTAGCTGGAGTTTTCTCCAGTCCCACTTGGGCCTGCAGCTGCTCAGATCCAAATAAACACATTGTTTACAAACTGTATGGCTGTGGCAGGCTTCTTGCTAAATGTTCTTATATCTTAAATTAACCCATTTCTATTAATCTGTAAGTTTCCACGTGACTTGTGACTTACCAGTACTTTTACATCTCGTTTCTCATGGTGGCAGCAGTATCTGGCAGTGTCTCCTAACTCAGCCTTCCACTTCCCAGAATTCTCCTCTCTGCTTATCCTGCCTATGCTATACTTCCTGCCTGGCTACTGGCCAATTAGCATTTTATTTATCAATCAATCATAGCAACACATTGACAGCATACAGAAAGACATCCCCATCAGTCCTCAGCTTTGTTATGTGATTTCAGGGAATCAAGCTCAGGTCCCCATGCTTATACTTTCCTGGCTGAGTTTTCATCCCAGCTCTGTTTATATTTTTGGAGCAATAATTTTTGTTCCAGCTAGAAGGGCAAAGGAATCATTAAATCACTAGTGAGTACTAATGATCCATATTTACTTGGGGTTTATAGACCTTTTCCTTCAGTGTGTTTACTAATATGCCCCCAATCTTTTAAGGAAACACAAGTCATAAAATGAGCATGCACCATTTCATAACTATTCTCCATATAATCAAAGAGTTTAAGGCCCGAAATTGATAATGGAAATCTGTTATTTTCTTTCCATTCTCAAATCAATATCCTTTCTATAAAGAGATATTCGATCTAAAGTTGACTTTGCTTCATGAAAATAGCATACTTAGGGTTGAGGTAATTATACAAATAAGTACATATCTTCATATGCATACAATAATAACAACAGTTTATTTCTGATGGCTTGCATTGTGCTCTCTAGAGAAGATTTAATGACAGATTTCTGACGAGCAATCCCATAAAAAGCAATTATGAGCCAATTATCCATAGGACAATCTTGAAAAGCCTACTTATGTTCATTCCTAATCAAGATGCAAAGAACTTTTGAAAGAGAAGAAGTGTGTATATTATGCAGACAAATAGTTTACATAGCATGCTGTACTGTCAAGGAGACATGGTCTGTCACAGTCTTCAAGTTGATCTTTGTTCTCTAGCTCAGAATGACAGCTGTGATGCAATGTGATTTAACAGGAGGGTCAAGAAGATCTCTTTTCAGTATTTAAATGTACCTTGGTGTCAACAGGTGTGACCATGAGGAAAGAGGCCAGAGTTTCAAAAGCAACACAAGAGTGCCGCAGGATGCTCCCAAAACAGAGCACAATATGGAGAAGCCCAGATCCTCTATTAATCTCTTATTTAGCAATTGTATTTGAAAATGTCTTTCTTCCAAGAATCTAAGGCTGCTACATAGAGAGAAACTACATATTTGTAATTGGTCAAATCCTATATTTGTTGTGAACTTGGACTCTTCAGGGAGTCAGAGTGTATAGAAATTAAAGAACAGACAAGAGCGTGAGGACTGAAACTGTCCACAAACACTGCTGGTGAGAACCATACACATACACACAAAGATCAACCAACCAGGATGGCTCCAGTTAGTCTCTGCAAGCATTATTCTTAGCTTGGAACTAGTTATGATTTTATCAATACCTCAATTTCAAGACAAAAGGCAGAATTGTTAAGTTATATAATTTCATGAACTGAGAGAGAATATTTTTGAAGAAGAGAGTTCAATATGGATGGAAGTATAGATCTAAGAATGGAGGGGCAGAAACTGAACATGGGCAAATACTGATAACACTGATGACTCAGGAATCTGAGACAGGAGGATTGCTTGTGTTCGCCACTTTAAGACAGCCTAGGAAGCACTGTGAGATTCCCACATGAGGGGAAAAAAATTAGACTATCTTGAGATAATAATTAGCTTTCTAATGGAAAAGAAACTGACATACTAAATGAATATAATTTAAGAGAGTTGAAGAGTGGAAATATTTACAAAGAGGAGGGTAAGTTTTAAGGAAACTACAAAGGATATTGTTAAATATCCTAAGGAATAATAAGTACTAATTAATGATGAGACTTTCCTTTGCATGTAAAGGAGGGTGAAGAGGAAGTGACTGTTAGTAAAACAGGAAGACTGGATAGGGAGAGCACTGAACCACAGGCATTCACAGGGAAAAGACAGAGAGAATCAATATGCTAATCACACTGTTGTATCCTCTCCTGATTTGCAAGCATACTTAATGATACTGAAGGTATCTCAAGGTTTGAGAAAGCCTAAATGGCCAACAGCTCCTGTGTCTCTGTCAGCTGAACTAACAGCTTTATCTTTAAGAGGGAAATTTAAAAAATAAAAATGGGCATGGCAAGATGGGGCTTCCAACAGACTGGATTTTATCCACAAATTTATTTTGCCGATTTCTACTCTGCCTTGCAAGGGCCAAACATTTGGGAATTATTGTGTTTATTTCTCTCTTTAATTTAAAAACACAGATTGTATCAATGGCTCTCATGTTTGAAAACTTCAATTTGTATTCTTATAATATACACCAATAGCTACAGTTATTATCAGAATTTATATCAATAAAGCTTATCAGTGCTGATATATCATTTTGTAATCTCAATCACTATGAAGTAAAATTTGACAGAAATTCCCCAAATTTCTGAAGATCTTAGGAAGATGATCAATTGAAATAGGATGGGGAAAAACTAGAAATTTTATTTACATTTATCTTGCAGCACATTTCTTTTAAGTTTCTATTTTCAAATGTTTTATGACAGACTTCAATATTATTATATTGAATCTATATTATAAGGATTAAACATATTTACAAATTAAATAACTATTCAATTTATTGGAAGGTAGTATTGGTGAAGTAAGGTTTGCCAAAACTCCATCTTATTCCTAAAATTAACAAGAACACTGCTAAGCAGTTGTCAAAGTCATCTTTTTAAGTGCTCTAGAAACTAACCAAATGCTCCTAGTATCTAGAAAGGGTTTATTCAAGAAATTTGGTTGACTTTCAATAGTGTCACTCAACTTTGTAACATTTAAGCTTGGCTCTAGTCCTGCCTCATTCTTCCTATCACTAAAGTGCTGAAAGCCAAGAGGTTTTGACGGGTTGCTAAATATGAAACACAGTGAGGGAGAAGCCATTGGAAGGTGGAGAGCATTTGGAATTTCCCCCAAAGCCCTATTCCTGTAGAACTGTCATCATCAGAACTGCCTTGGAGTCACTTGGAAAAGGCCTATCCTCAGAGCCTTTATGTGATGACTTAAATACGAAGGAGTAAAACAAATTGTACATCTCGGCATCTGTATATCCCTCCTCACAAGAGAGTTAAAGGGAAATTGATGAACATCTTATCTGTTTAGGGTGTTCAGGTCACTTGAAATAATCACAAAGCCCCAAAATTAAAAAGAAAATTCTGGGTCCTTCATAGAGGAGTTTGTGCAGTTCTAACATATTCCTGGGAAACCCAGACAGTCACCTGCATGGGCAAAGCTGTGTAAATGTTAAGAAAAATCTTAAGTCCTGTCTATTCTTATCCATGTCAGGTGAGACCTGAGATTCTGTGTAATCTTGTCAAGAAATTGTACTGGAAGAACTAGATACCTTCATGCCAAAAAAAAAAAAAAAAAAAAAAAAGAAAAAAACCCTCAATTTCCAATCTTAGATCATATACACAAATCAAATCAAACTGGGTTGCCATCCAAAATATAAGATTTGAACTTTAAAATCCTTAGAAGAAAACAGACTGAGCCTTTACTGTCCTCGGGCCAGGTAATGCGTTTAAATAAGACACTAAAAGTGTATTTGTAAATGATAAATTGGACTTCATCAAAATGTTCTAAAACCACTTTGCTCCTATAAAACATATCAACAATATAGTGCAAAGACAGCCTGCAGAATGTTAGAAAAGTGTCAAGTGAGAGCTCGGATAAGAGTGTATATCTAGGTTATAAAGCAAACTCTTGCAATTTAATAATCAAGTGAAAATTACCACAATTTAAAAATAAACCAATGAATTAGTGGAAATTTCTCTAAAGAAAATATGTAAATGGCCACTAGGCATATGAATATTCTCATCCTTAGTCTTTAGAGAAAATACAAATTAAAAGCACAATGAGAGATCCTTCTTACACACTAAATAGCAAAAATTTTAAAAAGGTATTGCAAAAAACATGGGAAAATGGAACTATACTATGTTGCTGGTGAGTATGTCAAACAATGAAACCTTCCAAACATTAAACCCAGAGTTA